ATATATATATATATATATATAAACTATGCGATCGTCTTTCTACTTTCATAGAAATACGAGGTGGAATTCCTACTGCAACAACAGTGGTATGATCCTCGATTGCGTTATAGCAACAGATCCAGATACGAATTTTTAAATGCGATTCATCATTACGAGAACATCTGGTTGCCGGATACGTATTTTATAATGCATGGCGATTTCAAAGATCCCATCATTCCTGTTCACTTTGCCTTGCGGATATATCGTAACGGCACTGTCAACTATCTTATGCGGTATTTAAAACATCAATATATCTTTTATGCAAATTAAATGTTATTATGATCATTTCTTTCCTTGTATTAGGTGTACAAAAAAGTTCTGAGCTTTTTTTTGTAAAATTCAATCTTTATTTAAAAACAAACGAAAAAATATTAATCTGCTGCGTAACGCCAAGCTGTTCTGCAAGCTCCTTTTCAGTTTGCGCAGAGTTTATATCCAGCAGTGCTTGCAATTCGTCCGTTTCAATCTTTTCAGGGCGTCCAGCACGCGATTCATCTTTAAGACTGAAATCTCCTTGGCGAAACTTTTGATACCACCTTTTGCATGTTGCATGACTTACAGCGTTCTCTCCATATGCAGCACAAATCATTTCAGTGGCTTCAGCAGCATTTTTCTTCAGATGAAACGCGAAGTGGATGGAAAATCGAATATGCTCTTTTGTAATTGCCATCGTGAACACTACTGATTTTTGAGGTTATGTGCATCAAACGCCAAACCGTATCGCATTTCAGGAGGTTAAATGTTACTGTTTTAAAACCCCAAAAGGGCGGGAAGATATATAAAATTTAAATTGTTATTTCGGTTGTATCAAATCTAAAGCTCAGAACTTTTTTGTACACCTAATAATTGCGAATGTTCTAAGGAATATTTTTATAAAATTTTTATAAAATTTTTTTAATAACTTGAAATATTGGAAAAATGTTTAATTTAATTTATTTATTAGCAAAAACGTTCTTCGTAAATACATCATTATCATTTTACAGGCGTCACCTTATTCTATCCTGCCAGGGTAGACTTAATATCTTCCCTTTCGACGACCCATTGTGTTCATTCGCAATCGAGAGCAGTGAGTAAATAGAATAGTTGTTAAATATGAGTAATACAATTTTTTATAATATGAGTAATACTGTCCTTTTATATTGCTGTCCTTTTAATGCATGCTTAAATTAATAAAAACTTAATTTTATTTTTCAGTATCGTATGAGCAGACAGCGATTACATATGTGTGGAAAAATGATGAGGGTACTTTACGAAAAAGCCCAAGCCTGACGGCACTGAATGCGTATCTCATTAAAAATCAGACAATCACATGTCCGATTAAAGTGAGCTGGCGAGGTAAGCGAAACAATCACTTGTACATTTTTTATGTTTATTTAGAGAAAAAATAAAATGTGCGCATCTAAAACAATTTTTTTGAGAATTATAAAAATAAATATTAAATGCACTAGCACTTAATATTTTTCACACTTTTACGAGGGCAAGTCAATAAGTTTTTAGAAAAAACATAGTAAAACACATTTTTTTTGATCGATTCATTTTTATTTCTCCTTTCAGCTCGATACACTTGATCCAACAATTCTCCAACTTTTTCAAGCCATCCGAATAATATGATTTGTCCAACCCTTCAAAATAAGCCTCTGTTTCGGCGATGAGCTACTCTCTGGTGGTGAATCTCTTTCCTCCGAACCATTTCTTCAGGTTTGGAAACAGGAAATAGTCACAGGGGTCTAAATCTGGCGAATATGCTGGATGGAAAAGCAATTCATAACGGAATTAGTGAAATTTGGCCATCGGTGTCGGGCACGTGTGAACCCGTGCTTGATAGAAGAGCATTTTCTGCAAATCACCAAATGGGGACATTTTTGTTTAAAATGTTGTTGAAACGGTCCAATAAGGTTGCGTAGTAATCGCCATTGATTGTTTGCTTCGACGGAAGGTAATATGAATTATACCGTGTGCATCCCAAAAAACTGTGGCCATTCCGGCCGACTTCACGATCTTCGCCTTCTTCGGAGCTGGTTCACCCGGTGGAATCCATTGTTTTGACTGTTCCTTCGTCTCGGGTGTGATGGATCCATGTAAGTAATGGATCCATGTTTCGTCCACAGTGAGTCGACGCAGAAATTCATCTGGATTACGTTGAAACATCTCCAAACATTGTTTGGAAATCGTCACACGGTCGCGCTTATGGTCTACAGTGAGCAAACGCGACATCCATCTTGCCGATAGCTTTTTCATACCCAATTGTTCGTGCAAAATTGAAATCACTGTGCCATATGATATGCCTGTGGCTTTAACAAGCTCGCGCACTTTCACTCATCGATCAGTCAAAACAATATCGTGGATTTTATCGATGATTTCTGGCGTAGCAGCCTCAATTGGACGTCCCGAACGAGGTGCATCACACGTGGATGTACGAACACGTTTAAATTCATTCATCCAATTATATACAGTCGCAAATGCTGATGCAGATATGTTATGAACATTATCCAACTCGGTTTTGATTTCTTTCGACGTTAAACCTTTCATATGTAGATGTTTGATCACTGCACGAAATACGTTTTTTTCCATTTTGCAAAAAATACAAATGTTGTTCGCTTTAATTGTCTTCACAGAAATGAAACTAGCGAGGAATTCCGCTCAAAATTTGACAGTAATCAGCTGAAAGATGCTACTTGTCAAAAAGTAAGATGCGAGACATTGCGAGTGCCTTCTGACAGATTTTCTAAGAACTTATTGACTTGTCCTCGTACAATTCATTATAATATTAGAATTTTATTTTTCATATATTATCTATTACTTATTTTGCCAATTAAAATAATAATTTTCATATAAAAATGTATTTTTTAATATAATCAAAATACATATAATATTGATCATATACATGGTGTCCCATTTTAATCAATGCACTTGAATTCCTCCGGAATTATGCAAGATCGAAATTATATTTTTGAGATGTTGTGATGTCGAGAGGGACATATTTTGATTAATAAGATTTCATCTTGAGTAAGACCATTAAGATCAAATGAAGGAACTTTATTTTTGTAAATGGCAATCTAATTTTTTAAACACCTACGTTTGTAGCCATACTGATTACGAATTCAACACATTATGACTCAAGGATCGAAAATCAAATGGCTAAACACGAACTTTTAATGTTTGTGCATGTTCAAACTGTCGTCCTTTACTACGAATACAGAGAGCAATACAATGTCTAAGTGATTGCGACACATTTGATACATATTATAATGTGCAGGCGCTCCATTCTGTTTAAATCACAGTTTTTGCCAAGTTAAAAGATCGATGTTTTCTAATAGTTCTGGCAACGTTTGTTTCAGAAACTTGTTGTACCACACTGTAGGATATCATTGAAGAAATGAAGACCGATGATCCATTCATAATACTACATCAAACATTCACCGACCTTTGGTATAATATGGTACTATTGAGGATTTCTTTGTGACTAATGTGAATTGTGTCGATTCACGTGGCCTACATTAGTAAAAGTTACGTCGTTAAAAAACATGTTCCAGAAAAAATTATCATTCCTCCACATTTTGCATTGAGTTCAATTACAGAATCGTAATCTGTTCCTTAAAATATGTCTCTCCCTCGATATCATATCGTAAAAACAAAATTTCGATATTTTGCATAGTACTAGAGAAATTCAAGTGCATTAATTAAAATAAAACATCTTGTATATTTCGAGTATTATCACATACAAATTTCTTATTGGTTTAATTCTATGCAAAGAACAACAAATGCAATGTTACACTTAGTAACCAGATAAATGCATCTTATATTGTGATGAATGTGTCTATTGTACATACACATATATATTTACTTTAATCAAGCATCCCGAAGAGGTACATTCTATCGTGTGATCTCCACGTGATACACATTGGATAATACTAATGCCAGCGGTATTGAAATTTTGAAGTCTCAAGAAGATTTCAATTAAAAAGGGTTTCTAACTAATGTTTCGAAAACGTCTTGATGTCAATTACAAGAAATGCAATGAAAGATATGGATTCCTATTTAAAAAATTCAAATCTTCGACATAACCTTCATAACACCACCCAAGGTCAATTGTATATACTCACGTAATGCATTACTTGATCCCCAACAACTTTCGTCTGAAATATTTTTGAAAATAATTATTTCTCTCGTTTTTAAATAAGGAATATGAGTAGTCTGAAATACCTGATATAAGTGTTTTTAATCTTTGAAAAGTAAAAAAAATTGATTTTTTTTATTGCATTTTGGAAAGTTGACAGTCTTAAAAATATGTTGCCAAAATCGTTAATAGAAGTATGTAAAATAATGGAGTTATTCACGGTTTACTAAAATGGTGCATAGGTAAAAATTAGGCGCTGTACGATTGTTACTTCTTCGAACAAAAAAACATTTCATGAAGTTTCATGAAGAAGATAAACCGTTTTATAGGCCAGAAATAAAAAAAGGCCCCAAATAAAAAAAATTTATTGTAATTACTAAAAAAACAAAAATATTCTAACTCAAAACTTTAAACGCATTTTTTTTCGAAACGTGTTTTTTTAAATTTGCTGACATTGTAAAGAGAAAACGGCTCAACGCACTAATCTACGCTTTTTATACATTAATTACAACAATTTTCTCTATACAAATCAAAAAAAGTAATAAATTTTTCGAAACAATAATAGTTTTTTGGCAATTTAATAGAATAAGTAATGGTAAAAAAAAAATTTTTTTTTATAAAGAAATAATTTTAACAAATCGCGATTTTGTTAGGTTTACCATATACATTCAACATTATTAATTACAAATCAATTTAATTTTTATTTTCAGACAACTACTTGTGGCTCACAATATCAGCAATTTAACAAAATCTCATTTGAACACATTTGCCGCCATTGTTGCTTTTCGGACATATTTAACACATTTTAACACATGTTAACATAAAAATTCATACATATTGTACAAAGTGCAAACAAAATATAGGTCCAAACTTAAAATTGATAGCCACAATCGTTTTCACAAAAAATTATTGATTTTTTGATCCTCCAAACCATTAGGTCCCCTTAAAGTTCGCCCACGAATTATATAGCGCTATTTCTGAATAAAAATTGAGTCGAAAAATTCTGAGTCATTTTTTTCTAGAATGAAATAGTTATTATCGAGCAATGCTAATCCAATTGGCGCCGTGCTTTAGACGGATAAACGTCAGTGAATCGCGCGCCTGATAATGTGCATAAGTGCTTAGTCGCGCGCCGCACGTCGCACACTGCTGCGTTCCTTTTGACCGCGTTTAGCAAAAAAAATTAATCAGTTAGCGCTTAGTGATTCCTTATATGATTGATTCTTGTCTTTAGTTTTTCGCTGAATCTAAGTGTAGAAACCAATCATATTAAAGAATCGCTAAGCACTAACTGTGATTAGTTTTCTCTGTTGAACGCAATATTTGCAAGCTATTGCTTTAGCTATTAATGTCCCTTGAAAACAAAGTCCGGCATATTCGTAGATCTCTTTTCATTGGGATAAAGTCAAATCCCCTAAAAATCGCAGAATCAATCACCATATAAGCGGGAACACACAGTTTAAAACGGATACAATAAAATAAAGGAAGAGATCAGTTTTTTAATATTTTATGTATTAGAAATAATAAATATAAGAAATAATAAAATATATAAAAAACTAAATATGTAATAAAAGAATAATGAAAACTATTTAATAACAGAATGCATCGCTATTTTACTCTTACATACATAGTAATATAATATTTTGCAGGATCCGAATCAAATCTTCTTATGTTTTTCTTATGTATTCACTGCTGTCGTCTTTCATAATTCTTTGAAAGATAATGCATTATATTACTTTCCTTTCATAAAATAGGACATTTTATTACACAACAATATGGTGTTACATATTCTGTAAATATAGAGACTTATTATTATTATAATTTTATATACTCATAAAAAAAAAAAAATACTATTCTTACTATTCCACTTTCTATATTTACAATATAATACATTAATTTTTTTGTTAGGACGTCAATACTTTTTGAGCTAATTCTATAATGAGTCGATAGTCGGAAATTTTATTAAGTTTTAATCAGTCGTATGGGCTTTTTATAATAAGCCATTACTTAAGCTATAAGTCTTAAGCCGTACAAAATTGATCAATTATAGTCAATTATTCTTCTCACATTTGATTGTGATGGTCGATTTCTTTCGGTTTAAGATTTAAAAGTTAGTTAATAATTTATCGCGAAAAGCCCATTATCCTAAATACTGATTATGATTTTTCAAACCTACAAGTTGTTAATTGTATATATTGAATCATTTTGCTTGACTAAT